GGAGAAAGACCTGCAGCGCCCACCTCCTCTGTATCAGACCCTTGGTGAGGAGGCTGTGCTATGGACCAGGCCTTTATAAGCAAAGGGTTAGGAGCTGGTCTTCACCCTGGTCTTGCAGACTCCTGCTCAGACTTCAAGACCCACCCCATATCACATCTGTGTAGGAAGCCGCAAAGCTGAGCCCCGACCCTTCTGTCTTTTCCTAGCATTGTAACAACCTCCCACAGTGTGTTTGTGGTTCTTCTTGTTGTGTGCCGACTCACAGAGATCCTAGATGGCACAGTAGACCTACCCCCATAGGGTTTCCTAGGCTGTTCTCTTCATGGGGGAGCCCTGGTGGCACCATGGTTAAAGCGCTCGGATGGTAACTGAAAGGTTGGTGGTTTCAGTTAACTCCATGGGAGAGAGAGATGGCAGACGGCTTTTATAAAATCTGCAGCCTTTGGATACTATCTGGGGCAGTTCTACCCGTCCGATAGGGTTACTCTGAGTTGGAATGAAGTCTGGTTTGATTTTTATAAAATCTCCGTGGGAATAGACTGTCAGATCTCTTCTCTCTTGGAGCAGCTAGTGGATCTGATTAGCTGGGTACTTGACTGCTTTAGCGGGCTTGTTTTCTGGTCTAGACCATACCCTCTCTGCAGCAGAGTCTTCTGTTTGTCTCTATGTACCCAGAACTTAGCACACAGTGATGGTGGTGGTAGTTATGTGCCGTGGAGTTGATTCCGACTCAGCATAGAGTTTTCCAAGGTGCTTTACGGGAGCAGAAAGCCTCATTTTTCTCCTGCAGAACAGCTGGTAGTTTCGAACTGCTGACCTTGACATTAGCAGCCTGACTTGTAACCACTATGCTACCAGGGCACATAGTAGGTGCTGTAAAACACATTTGTGGAAGGAACTAAAGGAAGAAAAGAGGGAGGAGTCGGTATGATCAGTAAGCGGCATCTGTGATGTGAGCATACATGTGGCCCTCTAGGGGTAAACTTCAGCTCCTGATGCCTCTGGCCAGGCTGATGTGGGAAATCATATCAGCTGTGTTGTTGTGCTTAGGGTGAACCTGAGGTCAAGGGTCACCCAGAGTTCACTGCTGGAGTGTGACTTCCTGCTGGCTGCACCTAGCGTAGGTTTTGATCCCACCCTGAAGGATGTGAAGGGCTCATGGTTCCTCTCTTCTCTGACAATGGTGGGGTCAAGGACCTCTCACCCTGATGGGTCAGAGTGGCTGAACTGTGCCTGATGTCGTGGAGAAGGGGTGGAAGGCAGGGGTCACCCACAGGCTGGCCTAGTCCAAGCTCCACTCCCTGACTCAAGACCAAGGAGAGGGAGTCCTGGTGGACGCTGGCAGTGGGCAGCTGAGCTGGCCCAGCCGGAGACCCTAGTTCTGTTCCTTACTACCACCAGAGACAGACAGACAGACAGACAGACAGAAGAGGCAGGGTAGCAGCCAGTTCTGAGGGACTTGGCCACGCCCACTGAGGGAGAGGCTGCCCTGGGGAGACTTCAAAGCCCTCCCCGAGCAGCTTGTAAACAAGCGGTCTTGTGGGGCAGCCAGCAGGGGCTAGTGGGGGGCCTATCTGAAAGGGCTGGGAACTCACATGTGGGCAGAATACAGGATTGGGGTCAGGGACCCTGGGCAGGCCCAGCTTCTCCTCTCTGTGACTCAGTTTCCTCCTCTGCACATGGAGCTCCCAGCCACACTGCTGCCGGTTTCCTGGGGCTGGTGTGATGGTCAGCAGGGACGATGCTGGTGAAACGCTGCGTGGGCTCAGAGCCTTGGTCAGATGTTATTTATTATTCTGAGCTGTGTTTTCGTGGGAGACCTGGACGGGCTGACAGAGAGACGGGAGTGTACTCGGGCCCCTTCCTCCTGATCCTGTTTTGAGAGTTCTTGAAGCAGAGTGGCCAGAATGGGGCCCTGGGAGGGAGAGTCTTTCTCCATCAGCCCTGAGTAGCTGGGGAGGATGGACAAATCTTCCCTGCTTTTTGGATGGCCCGCCCCCCCTACTCTGTGCCCCTCCTCCTCCTGAGCCTGCCATCTCAGCAAGGCCTCTCTCTGGATCCTTGTCCTCATGCAATGGGACTGTGACAGTTTTTCTAAGTCCTGCTTAGAAATGTGTCACTGTCCATTTCCCTGTGAGACATCAAAGGAGGCTGTGCCCTCCACCCGCCACTCACAAACTACGTTCATCCAAGTGCCTTGTGGTGGCCCCAGCTACGAGCAGCTGGAACATGGCTTTATAAAATTACACGGAATTCAAAGCAGCCGGCGTCGCCTGCTGTCTGGCTTCATTACTGGGACTGGCCTCGGAGGGAAGTTTATTCCAATAATTTAGGGGATTAGGGCCTGACACCCTTCATTAGCTGTTTGACATGAGCAGAAAATGCAGGTCTTACGGAAGGCCCCACGCAATGGGGAGGAATTGGCTCAGGCAACAAGAAAGCAACATGCCACCCAGCTAGGTCTGCAAGGTGGAAGAATGAGGTCACCCTTTTACAGTCACATTCAATGGTGAACTGCAGCCTTGAAGCTGGAAGTGGAGCTGGCGGGGGGAGAAAGGGACTCAGGACTCAGTTTCTCCATCTCATAAAATGAAAGCATTGCCAGGGGCCTTTGAGATCCCTTCCAGCTCTACCCCTGGGACATATAACAGCTCAGTTACTGGTTGGCTATCTGTCTGTTATAGGGTATCTCTTCCTTCTGGGGAGCCTTCGCTTTCTCACCCCACAGCCCCATGGGGATCAAGTGATAACGTAAAGACACCCAGCCTGCTTATTTTTCTGTGGCATTTTGGGAATAAGTCATCTCTTGCCAAGGGGTGGAGGAATCACCCCCGTTCCCTGGCAGCTTCTGACTCTCACCACCTCCACCACCCCCTCCACAAATATGGGCCCTGATGTTTCCAAAGCTTCATGCCTAGCCTGTAAAAGGCAGGGTTTGAGCAGTTCTGAACAGATGGGTGGGGAGAAGAAGGTGGCTTCCAAAGACCCATGCCCACAGCCAGACACGGTGACTTCCCTCTTTCCTGTGCTAATGGTGGGATCCTGAAGCTGTGTGACACAGGACAAGTTGCCTAACCTCTCTGAGTGTTCATTTCCTCAAATCTTAAACAGAGGTGCAGTTTATTGATGAAGTGAAATAATGTGAAGAGTGCCTGGCACATATACCAAGACCCAAATCCACTGCTATCGAGTCAATTCTGACTCTTAAGGACCTTGTTGTTGTTGTTGTTGTTGTTATGTGCTGTGAAGTCGGTTCCGACTCATAGCGACCCTGTTCAGGGTTTCCGAGGCTGTAAATCTTTATGGCAGCAGAAAGCCTCATCTTTCTCCCCCGGAACAGTTGGTAGTTTCGAACTGCTGACCTTGCGGTTCACAGCCCGATTCGTAACCACTACGCTACCAGAGCTTAGGGACCCTGTAAGATAGAGTCAACTGCCCCATAGGGTTTCTAAGGCTGTAAGACTTTACTACGGGAGCAGACTGCCTCATTTTTCTCCTGCAGAGTGGCTGCTGGGTTCGATTATCAGCCCCACATTTATTTAAGCCACGGTGTCACCAGAGCTTCTGTGGCATGTGTGTTGTTGACGTTGTTACGTGCTTTTGAGTTGGTTCTGACTCACAGTAATCTTATATATAGGATTTCTGAGGAGCAGCTGGTGGGTTTGAACTGTCAACCTTGCAGTTACCAGTCCAGTACTTATCCTACAGTGCCACACCAGGATTCCTTGGTATATATATTGCTGTTAGTGATGTCTGGTTTGCTCCGACTCACAGTGACTTTGTATAGAATTTCCGAGGCTTGTAAATCTTTGCAGGAACAGAAAGCCTCATCTTTCTCCCACAGAGTGGCTGGTGGGCTTGAACCACCGACCTTACGGTTCGCAGTCCAGTGGTTATCCTATGGAGGCACCACCTTCCCTTTGGCATACATAAGAGCCCAATAAATATGATGTATTGTTATGGTGACTGTGTGTGACCTTGGGCGAGTCACTTGCCCTCTCTGAACTTTCCTTTGCAGAATGGGGGGAAATGGGACCATGCCTGTGACGTGCTGGACTCTCAGAAAGCGCTCCTTTACTGGCAGCCATGATGGTCATTCGCGAGGGCAGCTGGGTAGTCCAGCTCACTCTTGAGACACTGCTACCATGTAGGTTTTCTTGGAGTCGACAAGTGTGTCAACCCAGGAGCGAGGAATGTGATCCGTCCCGGCAGCCGGGGGAGCCGGAGCATATCTGGTATGTGTCTCTGGAATGATTTGGGGAAAAATTCACTGAGGTTGGAACTTGAGACGCAAAATTCTCGGGACAGGGAGATACGGAGCTGTCCTCGCGCACGCCCCCCACAAAGGCCCTGCTGCTGGGGTAGGAGTCGGTTTACAGAGCACAGCGTTGCTCAAGCCCGCCCTGGAATGGCCGTGAACTTGTTGTTTTTCCACGTCATTTGCTCTCTAATGTACTATCAGGCCTGGCGATGCTAACCCAGCGGCGGCTGCAGGTCCCTCCTTGTAACAAGCGATTGTGTGTTCTTTAGAGGTGGCCAAAGGGGAGGAGGGGGCCCGGCCACAGGGAAGTAGGGTGGGGGAAAGGGAAACAAATCCCTTCTTTACTGGGAGCCTGTGTGTCCTAGAGCCAGCTCCCCCCAAAGCACATGCCATTTCTGGCCCTTGAAGGGGTTAAAGGCCTCCTGGAGCTCAAAAACAAGCAGGTGTCCCACCGTGCCAGATACAGCCGCCTAAACTGCTTCCAGCTTTTTTTTTCCCTTCTGCAACAAGTCTGCGATCAGCCACGGGACAGAGGATTCAGCAGCCTGCCTGTGACAGGCGTCAGGTTAGCTCACTCCCACTCGGGTGCGGGTGCGCCCAGGATAAACCTCCAGCTGGGCCCCTGCTGTGGCTCCTCTCCTGCACACTCAGGAGAGGGGGTTTCCTTCCCAAGACCTTTCTTCTCTCTGAAGCCGGCAGCCTCACAGGCTAGTGGAGCGGCTGCAACCCTAGCAGCAAGAAAGCCTGCTGGGGTAGGGAGGGGCAGGGGTCTCCAGCCCCTGGAGCAAGAGAAGACCTTAGTGGGTTGGGCCCTGGCATTGTCACAGGGGAGGTTGCTGGCCACCACAGACCACACCATGTGGGCTCTGGGGCGTCGCCGGTTCCGGTCCTGCTGGGGGCAGGTGGCCGTGCTGCTGCTGCTGCTCGGGGTACCTCCTCAAGGTGGGGCACTGCCGCCCATCCGCTATTCCCACGCGGGCATCTGCCCCAACGACATGAACCCCAACCTCTGGGTGGACGCCCAGAGTACCTGCAAGCGGGAGTGTGAGACGGACCAGGTGAGTGGGTGGGGGAGTGGGAGCCACGGGGTGTGGATGGCTTGGGAGGGCCTGCAGGGCCCAGGAACTCAGAGGACACGGAGTCACATCTAGCTGATAACTGAGGCCGGAAGACGAGGAGGTGTGATGTCCAAGTTCACGAGGGACTGAGGGGAGCCAGCACTGTGTCAGGCATGTCAGCAAGGCATCCGCATGTCCTTTACAGGTGTGTGCAGACACTCAGATAGGTACAGGCAGGGCTGGAGCCTGGCTATCTGACCCCAAGGCTGATGCTCCATCCTGGCCTCCAGGCTGCCTCCAGGTGTTTGGAGCCTAACTTGAAAGTACACTGAGCTGAGTGAGGGTCCGGTGCCCCTGGTAGACCCTTGGTCCATGAGGCTCTCCTGATCACAGGGCACTGCTCATCTAGGGATGACTTTGGAACTCCTGCCTAGGGAGTGGTCACTCCTGAGTCCAAGGGGATAGGTAGGGAGTGGTCACTCCTGAGTCCAAGGGGATAGGTAGGGAGTGGTCACTCTTGAGTCCAAGGGGATAAGTAGGGAGTGGTCACTTCTGAGTCCAAGGGGATAGGACCTGCTGGCACCTGCCCTAGACAGAGGCACTTCCTGCTCTCGGTCAGCATGGGGGAACATGAGAGACTTCTATCAAATGCACCACTCCCTGGGAGAGCTCAGGGTTACCCTGGAGGGAGGAGGCCTCCACTCACAATGCCCAGAGGATCCTTCTCAGGCCTCTTAGTGGGCAGTGATGGTGTGGAGGGAGCGGGTGGCAGAGTGGCCATGCCATTAGCTTGCTGCATTGACAGAAGGCTGTTTCAGGACACAGACTGGCCTTGGGGACGATGAGGCACTAGCTAACTCTGTGTCTGAAGAGAAGGGACCTGTGTGGGCTGGGGACTCAGACACTCATGGGTGCATCCTGGGTTCTGATGCAAAATGGCAGGAAGGGTGCCCTCTATATCTCCTGGTGCCTGAAGACCCAGCTATTGGGTTTGACCTTCTGGTCCCAAAGGAGCTGCCTGGTGAAGTGTCTTCAGCAACGGAATGACCCTCAGACCTGCTCCCAGCCTTCAACCCCCTGCGGGGTCTCCTCAGATCCCAGCTCTGCAATCTGCCATCCCTGTCCCAAAGCCTCCCCTGGACTGGCATAGAAGCCCATGCCAAACAAGGACTGTAAAACAAAGTCCCCATTCTGAGCCGAAGGGGGAAGAACAGTCAACAAGTCAAGCAGGCCGGCTCCACGAAGCCAGGGCAGGGGGGCATTTTCCCTTCTTAGCCGATGTGGAATGTCAAAGAGGCTGAAATGAAAGTTGGAATGACAAGAGGCCAGCCCCTATGTGGGGAGCAACTCGCGGAGCTACTACCAGTGCCGAGGATTAGGCGTGCTGCCTGTCTGCCCAGTGGGCACCTTGCGTTATTGTTGAAAACACCTCGTGAAATTCTTATTTGTGCCAGCTCCTGGAGTATGTGGCTAATTTCAAGGAATTAAACTAATGCCTTACTTACGTGGTTCCACAGAAAATCAGAGGGGATTACAGCCTGGTAAGTCCTCACTGACGGCCTTGCTGACCTTTGCCACACAAAGGGATTTTTTTCCCCCTCTCATTGCTTTCCCCATGAGACATTTCTACACATTGACAGTGAGCGCCTAGGTCAGTTACAGTCCACAGTGGCCAGAGGTGGTGTCCTGGCCTGTCACGTATGCCCTGACTCTTGGCTTCGGGAGACTCTGCGTGGTGGCACAAATGGTTACACGTTTGGCTACTAACCAAAAGGTTGGTGGTTTGATCCACCCAGAGGTGCTTCAGAAGAAAGGCCTGGTGATTTTCCCAGAGATCACAAACATTGAAAACCCTATGAAGCCGGAATCAACTCTAAGGAAACTATTGTTGTTGTTTTTAGGGGAGAGCTTATCAAAGCCTGTAGTCCTGATGTGTGTGTTCTCAAAGGAAGAAAAGGGTTACACAACCTCAAACATCTGCCCTTGTAGTTTCTGATTTTACCTGTTTGCTGATGGTGTGGTTATCCTCACCTCAAAAGAACACACAAAAAAAGGCATGATAGTTTGTTGAAATGTAGACCCCTTTTATATGAAGAAAAAAGATGCCATTTCAGAATCCTATCCACCTGGAGTTTAAAGCCCTTTCCACCACTTTCTAGCTATGAGGACTTGGGTGTTTACTTTCAGAGCCTCCACATTCTCATCTGTAAAATGGCAGTAAGAAAATGTCATCTCTTAGGATATGTGGCCTGTCTCTTCCCACACTACTTACTGGCTGTGTGACCTTGGGCAAGTTACTTGACCTCTCTGTGCCTCAGTCATCATCACTCATTAAGTGGTGATAATGGCTGTGCCTGCCTCAGAAACCTGTGATGAGTATTAGCTGAGCGGGCAGATGTATAGTTCTTAGAATATCAGATGGCACATAGCAGGGGCTGTGTACAGGTGAGCTGTTATTATCATCAAACTTCCTGACTTGTGGCAAGCATACGGTCAGTAGTGAGTACATGTTCATTTCTGCTCCCCGTGAACCAGGGTGGCCGGGGGAAGCCTGTCCTCTCTTCCTCCCCCTCCTTGCTCAAGCTTCTCCGTCACTCTTTCCAGGAGTGTGAGACGTATGAGAAGTGCTGCCCCAATGTGTGTGGGACCAAGAGCTGTGTGGCAGCCCGGTACATGGACGTGAAGGGGAAGAAGGGTCCAGTGGGCATGCCCAAGGAGGCCACGTGCGACCAATTCATGTGCCTGCAGCAGGGCTCCGAATGCGACATCTGGGATGGCCAGCCCGTGTGTAAGTGCAAAGATCGTTGCGAGAAGGAACCCAGTTTCACCTGCGCCTCAGATGGACTCACCTACTACAATCGCTGCTACATGGATGCGGAAGCCTGCTCCAAGGGCATCACGCTGACCGTCGTCACCTGCCGTTACCACTTCACCTGGCCCAACACCAGCCCCCCGCCACCCGAGACCACCGTGCACCCCACCACGGCCTCCCCGGAGACCCCTGGAGTGGACATGGCAGCCCCGGCCCTGCTCAACCATCCTGTACACCAGTCGGTCACTGTGGGCGAGACCGTGAGCTTCCTCTGTGACGTGGTGGGCCGGCCCCGGCCTGAGATCACTTGGGAGAAGCAGCTAGAGGATCGGGAGAATGTGGTCATGCGGCCCAACCACGTGCGTGGTAACGTGGTGGTCACCAACATCGCCCAGCTGGTCATCTACAATGCCCAACCACAGGATGCTGGCATCTACACCTGCACGGCCCAGAATGCTGCTGGGGTCCTGAGGGCCGACTTCCCCCTGTCAGTGGTCAGGGCTGGCCAGGCCACAGCCACCTTGGAAAGCAGTGCCAACGGCACAGCCTTCCCGGTGGCAGAGTGCTTGAAGCCACCCGACAGTGAGGACTGTGGCGAAGAGCAGACCCGATGGCACTTTGACGCCCAGACCAACAACTGCCTGACCTTCACCTCTGGTCACTGCCACCACAACCGTAATCACTTTGAGACCTATGAGGCCTGCATGCTGGCCTGCATGAGCGGCCCACTGGCCGTGTGCAGCCTGCCTGCCCTGCAGGGGCCCTGCAAGGCCTATGCGCCTCGCTGGGCCTACAATGGCCAGACGGGCCAGTGCCAATCCTTTGTCTACGGTGGCTGTGAGGGTAATGGCAACAACTTTGAGAGCCGAGAGGCCTGTGAGGAGTCCTGCCCCTTCCCTCGGGGGAACCAGCATTGCCGAGCCTGCAAGCTGAGGCAGAAGCTCGTTACCAGTTTCTGTCGGAGTGACTTTGTCATCTTGGGCAGAGTGTCTGAGCTGACTGAGGAACCTGAGATGGGCCGTGCCCTGGTGACGGTGGATGAAGTCCTCAAGGATGAGAAGATGGGACTCAAGTTCCTGGGCCGGGAACCACTGGAGGTCACTCTGCTCCACATAGACTGGGCCTGCCCCTGCCCCAATGTGACGGTCAGTGAGACACCACTGATCATCATGGGTGAAGTGGATGGTGGCATGGCCATGCTCCGTCCCGACAGCTTCGTGGGAGCGTCCAGCACCCGGCGGGTCAAGAAGCTTCGTGAGGTCATACACAAGAAGACCTGTGACGTCCTCAAGGAGCTCTTGGGGGTGCACTGAGGACCCCAGCCCACCCTGCTCCTCTCCCACCCTGGCCCTCCTTCATCGACCCACCCCAAATCCCCACAGTCAGAAAACTGGGCAAGATCAGATTAGGCAGGCTTGTGGTTAACAGGAAACATCAACCAACATCAGAAAAATGCCACCAGAGGGTCCAAATCAACTTCTAGTTTAGAGGCTCAATAAAAGGTCCACATCTTTTTTAGCTGAGGGGACAAAAGGAGATGTCCGTTCAGGCAGGATCCTGCCTCTGGCTCTCCCAGTCACCTCTCCCCAGCCGACTCTGCAGCCAGGGTTCCAGAGATCGTGTCAGGCTGTGTGGTAGGCACAGGAATAGTTGAATGGATTGCAGAGGTGGTAGGTGGGGTGAAAAAGGAGGTCCCATGAACTCATCTGGACTAGGTAGCGATGGACAGACACACTTCATTCTAAGGGCTGTGGGCAGTGGGCAGGGGGCAGTGGGAGTCACGCATAGTTAGTCTAGTGGGGGCTGCTGAAGCAAGGTGCCTGTGCTTTGGGTTAAGATGACCCACGGTATCTGAGGCTACCACAGCACCAACAGAATACATACTTGTTTTTGGTTGGGTTGGTTTGTTGGTTCAGTTCCATTCATTTCAACTCGATGGATATTTTCTGAACACCTACTGTGTGCCAGGTACTATGATCCTATAGCAAAGCAAGAGCTGCTTCAACTCATAGTGGCCAAAAAACAATGTCCACACCCCAGGATTCCCGCAGGTCCAAGCTGGCCCTCCTCGCTGGCAAATGATCCCATTTGACAGATGGTGTGCTTTTCAAAACAAAGGAAGAGAAAAAGCGAGGGGTGAGGGTAGTGAAGGAAGGAAAGAGGAGGTGGGAGGCAGGTTTGAGAAGGCACGTTGTTCGATGCTGCCATCTGGTGGTAGCACTTGGAACCAGCAGGGACCTGTAGCGACTCTAAGGCTGCCTCGGAGGGCTGGTTCCCGGATGTCGCAGTCCCTGGTGATTTTTTGTTTCGGAACTCCCTGTGTGGACCCGGCCACTCCATCACTAGATAAAAGATTCAGGGAACCCACTGTCAGCTCTGCATCTGTCCCCCCACTCCTTCCTCCACCGTTCATCTGTCCAAGCCCCTCCATAGCTAAAGAAGGTCATGGCGAGCCAGTCCTCCTTACTTCCTCCATTAAAAACTCATAGTATTGATAGCCTTTCTGTGTGTTTCATTTGGATGTCTGTGACTGGGCAGGTGTGTAAAGTGGGGTAGCGTGATTCATTCTTTTTGGTAATTTTGAGGAAGGGAAGTCTGGCCATTGGGGTTGTACTTGGTGAATGGCAGGATACTCCTATTGTTTGGCCCATTTACAGCTTGTAGACTGCAAACCCAGAGCTGTGGGTTCAGCACAGGAAAGCTGACTGGGAGAGGTACAATGACTTGCCCAAGAAAACCCACAGGAGGGGCTGGGGCGTGGTTCCAGGTGTTCTGACTTGTAACCCTGGCACTACCCCACATTATGATAATAGGGCAGAAGGCAGACTCAGCCACAGCTGGGCAGGGAGAGGGCGTGCTGCCCAATGGACTCCCTCCAGGGCCTCCAAGTGAAGCCCAGTCCCAGGAGGACTCTGGGTCAAAGCCCTGTGTGTGCTCAGGGCACATGGCGTGGCTCCCGGGAATACAGACAGCAGTGCTTTTGGCCTGGGGGAGGCTTGTGGTGTTCCCCTCCCCTCTCATGAGACATGCTCAGGAGCTCTGAGGCTGTGACATGCCCCACAACTTGTCCCCAGACTGGGAACCAGCTAAACACAAGAGACACCTCTGCCCTAAACAGTTTCTTCATGAGTCATAGTCCAAAGGAGGAATCCAAGCCCAGCCCAACCCAGCCAACGTCACATTAGAGAGAATGCCTAGGTATAAGGGTGCAAGGAGGGGCCAGAGCAGAACCACTAGGCACTCCCTGAGAGAGGAGAGGTCAGAACCTGGCCATCAGGGTGGTATGAGTGTCAGCATGGGCCCCTCATCCATACATTCTCCTCAGATATGGGATCGAGCCCTGTGACTGGGCTGGGAGAGTCGGGGCCAGAGACCAGCTCTGCTTGCCTGGTGAAGTTGTGAGGTTCAGGGGAGTCTGATTTCACAGCTCATTGCCATCTCACAGTCCTACACACAGGGTTCCTGTTACACAACCCCCAACCTGGCACAGTGAGAAAACCCAGCCTATGAAGTCAAACTCAGGTCTGAATCTGGGCCTTCCCACTTAGCTGCTGTCTGAGTTTCCCCGTATATAAAACAGATGTAATCGGGATTTGAGGAGTGTGACAGTACTATATACCTTGTAAAACTGGAAAGTCTGGGAAATAAGACTGGCTCAGAGGATGCCCGCTCCTCCCCCTCAGCAATCCTTGGTGGCAGGGCAGGGCAGATGCAGGACCTAAAGCCCTGTTCTCCTTCTGGGCCTCGGGCATCGCAGGCTCAGTGACCACAAAGCTCCTGTCTTCAGGGCGGTCCTGACTTCAATTATTTGACTATGTTGCTGACAGATGCATCCAAGAGCAGCTCTCATAGGTTGATGTGGGGCTGGGAAATATAGACACCTAGGGAATGGGCAAAGGATATGCACTGGGCCACAAGGACATTTAACTGTGAGGTTTGTGGTTCAAACTCACCAGCCACTCCTTGGAAACCCTATACAGGATTTCTATGAGGTAGAATTGACACAATAACACTTAACAACAACAACATAACATGGAACCTACTAAATGGAATTTATTTTTCTATCCTTGAAACCAAGCCTGAGCCTTCTCTCTGTTACCCCCCGGCCTTATACAATACGTGGTATTTTGAATGCACTCAGTAAAGAGCTGGATTCCCAGTCTGGTTGCCAGGCAGCCTGAGAAGACCACCTCATCCTGTGTGGGACACACAGAAATTGAGTCTTCTTCAGGCCCCTGTCTTCTGGGACCAACCTCCTTTACACCATAGACCAAGACTCCCACAGGACACTCTGCCTCCCCTTCTTGCATCTCTTGGGCGCCCTTCCCTCAGCTTCCTTCCCCCCCACTCTTTAGAGGCATGGTCTGGCGCCGGCTGTCTCCGGACCAGCCCCGAGGCCTCTGGGACAGAGCAGCTTGGCTTTTTCCACTCTCTGCCTCCCCCCCAGCCCCTCCAGCCTCCTAGGACACTTTGCTCCATTGTCTGGCCAGCTGCTCCATAGTCTGATGTCACCCCCTGGACAGTGGGGCCAGAGAGCAGGAGTAAGGGCGGAACCTGACTAGGGAAGGGGCAGAATGAATACACAGCCACATGGCGCCTTCCTTGGGCAGGGAAGAAGTCCCTTGGTCCACCTACACTGTTACTCTAACACCATTCACATTGGGTGAGTGCTTTCTAAGAACCAGGTACTGCACACCATCCCTTGGAGTCTTCATTACAATAGCATGAGACACAGAGACTAGTTTGAACATTGTTTTATTTTATAGGTGAGAAAAGTGAGATGAGCGGGATTGTCTGAGATCACACAGCTGGCAAGTGGCAGAGCCATTCGAACCCAGGTAGTCTGAATGAAGAAGCCCTGGTGGCTCAGTGGTTAAGCACTTGACTAACCAAAAAGTCAGTGGTTCGAACCCACCAGCTGCTCCCTGGTAGAAAAGACCTGTAAGTCTGTTCCTGTAAAGATGAAAACCCATTTTTATCAAGTTGATGCCAACTCACAGTGATTCCCCCGTTCCATAGGGTTCCCAAGGGAACCCTGGTGGCACTGTGGGGAGACACTGGACTGCTCACTTCAAGTTTGGTGCTTCAGAGACAGTCTGCTCCCATAAAGATTTAGTCTCGGAGACTCTATACAGACTTGCTCTAAGTGTAAACTGGCTTGATGTCAAGCTTTTGTTGTTGTGTTTTTCTAGAGTTTCCAGCTATAAGTCTTTATGGAAGCAGACTGCCACACCGTTCTCCTTGGAGCACCTAGTGGGTTTGAACTGCTGACCTTTTGGTTAGCAGCTGAGCACTTAACAATTGTGCCCAGGAAACCCTATAGGGCAGATCTCCTCTGTCCTAGAGGTTCATCGAGTTGGAATCTACTCAATGGTCCTTAACTGCCACAGTCGGACTTCAGAGTAATGCCCATGCTGAAACACACACATGAAACACACACACTCTGGGCTGGGCAATGTGCAATGCAGTCATCCCATCAGGACCCCAAATGTCCCCCAAGAACCTGCTTCTAGTCAGCTGCATATACACACACCTCAGGGCTGATTTACAACTCACCATGTGACATGGTATTTCTATCACACACAGAGTCATGGCCTAGATTCCTAAGTGAGACATCAGCAAGCCTGTTCATCCTGATGGACTCAGCTCCTTGGGAAGTCTTGGCCATTCCTGGGCTTCTTAGGTTGTTCTCCCTCTATCCCTCTATCCCTGGGGAATCTAGGGGGCGGGGTGGGTGGAGGGCCAGGCTCACAGTGCTCAGGAGGGCCTGTTGGATGGACAAAGGATCCTGTACCAGGGACCATGCCGTGCTGCTATGCTGAGTGATAAGGAAGCTGTGATTTCTGAAGTCTTTGCTCTATTGTCCTAAGTCCACCAGCTGATATCTTCTTCCTCTCCCACCTCTCTAAGCCTGAAGCCTCCCTCCTCTGGAAATGTGTGAGTAATACAGGCAGGATGGGTGCCAGGGTTCCTGGGTCCTATTCTTGGCCTTGGTCTCATTCTGGAATGTGCCTCGAGGTCAAGTGACACTCCTGTCTTCTGGACGGCATCAAGAGGAAGACAGAATAAACCTCCAGCTGGCATCCTCCTGAAGCAGGCAGGTGGGCAAGTGACTGCTCCTCTCCTTCCCACCACTCTGGCTCCTGTGCCTCTTGGTACTTCTATTTCAGGGTCAGATTAGAGTCTCTCCATCCGCATCCCAGAATTACTCTGGGACATGGAACTTTGGCACCCAGGCCTCCAGTGACACCCTGACCGCCCTCAACCCCACTCAGACAAGTGGAAAACAGGACTCAGTTTCAACCCTCTTTCTTGGGCCAGACTCTTCCAGACGCACGCTGCTTCTCAGATGTCTGTCTGTCTGTCGTGAGGTGGGGGTGGGCTGAGGGGTTGGCTTGGGAGCTTCCTGCCCTTTTTCACACCCTGGGGATACGGCCAGAGGTCTGACAGAACGAAGGTCTTCCACCTTGATTTTTATACTCTGTCTTGGTGATAGAGACACATCCACGTCTAGCTCTAACCTACAGGAGGG